CTTCTTCTTCTTCTTCTTCTTCTTCTTCTTCTTCTTCTTCTTCTTCTCTCTCTCTCTCTCTCTCTCTCTCTCTCTCTCTCTCTCTCTCTCTGGTATGCAGTTATCTGGTTTTGGTTTGGGAGCACTCCTTCTGTTTTTCTTCTTTGATACTTTAAGAAGGATTATGGGAAGGAGCATATGGGAGGGTTTGAAGGAGGAAAGCAATGGAGAAATATAATGATAAAGAATTTAAAATGTGGACTTCCTGTCTCCTGTCTGGGCTGAGCACAGAGCAGATCCCAGGCGGCACCTCTGTTCCCAACCTCACAAAATCCAGAGGAAGAGGGCCTTCCAGGAGCTCTAACCCAGGCAGTATCTCAGGTAAGGAGACAGCAACAGCTGCCCCAAACAGGGAACTGGGACCCACTGAGACCCAGGAATTCACTACTGGCCCAGAGCACGGTTCCTTCCAGTCTGGGCCTGAGCGCTCAGCATATCCCTGGAGTCAGCTCTGCACCCAATCTCACAGAACCCAGAGGGAGTGGGGCTCCCAGAAGCTCTAAACTGAGCAGTATCTTAGGCAAGGAGGCAGCAACACTTGCCCTAAGCAGGGAGTAACCGGGACCCACTGGGACCCAGGAATTTAATCCTGATCCGGAGCACTGGTTCCTTCCATTCTCCACCTGAGCACTGAGCAGATCTTGGGCCTCAGCTCTAACCCCAGCAGCAAAATCCATCCCAAATAGTTCTGACACAACCAAGATAATAGTTATGACAGGCTCCAGTCAGAGACAGTGCAGATAGCACTAAGGAGATCCAGATGGCAAAAGGCAAGTGCAAGAACATAAGCAACAGTAACCCAAGGTACTTGGCATCAGCAGAACCTAGTTCTCCCATGTTATAAAGTCCTGAACTTCCCATATTACCAAGAAAGCAAGAGCCAGATCTAAAATCACTTCTAACGATGGTGATAGAGGACTTTAAGAAGGACATAAATAACACCCTCAAAGAATTTGAGGAGAACACAGGTAAACAGGTAGAAGCCCTTAAAAAGGAAACAGAAAATCCATTAAAGAATTACAAGAGAACACAACCAAGCAGGTGAAGAAATTGAACAAATCCATCCAGGACATAAAAATGGAAGTAGAAACAATAAAGAAATCACAAAAAGAGACTACCCTGGAGATAGAAAACCTAGAAAAAAAATCAGGAGTCATAGATGCAAGCATCACCAACAGAATGCAGGAAGGAGATAGAATTGAGAATCTCAATTGCAGAAGATACCATAGAAAAGATTGACACAGCTGTCAAGAAAACACAAAATGCAAAAAGTTCTTAACACAAAACATCCAGGAAATTCAGGACACAATGAGAAGACCAAGCCTAAGGATAATAGGTATAGAAGAAAGTGAAGATTCCCAACTTAAAGGGCCAATAAATATCTTTGACAAAATTATGGAAGAAAACTTCCCTAACCTAAGGAATGAGATTCCCATAATCATACATGAAGCCTACAGAACACCAAATAGACTAGGTCAGAAAAGAAATACCTTCCGTCACATAATAATCAAAACACAAAATGCATAACAGAAAGAAAGAATTTTAAAAGCAGTAAGGGAAAAAGGCAAGTAACATATAAAGGCAGACCCATCAGAATTACATCTGACTTCTCACCAGATTCTATAAAAGCCAGAAAATCCTGGACAGATGTCATACAGACCCTAAGAGAACATAAATGCCAGCCTAGGCTACTATACCCAGCAAAACTCTCAATTACCATAGATGGAGAAACGAAGATATTCCATGACAAAACCAAATTTACACAATATCTTTCCACAAACCCAGCACTACAAAGGATAATATCAGGAAAGCTCCAATACAAGGAGGGGAATTATACCCTAGAAAGAGCAAGAAAATAATCCTCTTCCAACAAACCCAAAAGAAGATAACCACACAAACAATGCCTCCACTATTAGCAAAAACAACAGGAAGCAACAATCCCCTCTCCTTAATATCTCTTAACATCAATGGACTCAATTCCCCAATAAAAAGGCATAGGCTAACACGCTGGATATGCAAACAGGACCCAGCTTTTTGTGGCATACAGGAAACCCACCTCAATGACAAAGACAGACACTACCTTAGAGTGAAAGGTTGGAAAACAATTTTTCAAGCAAATGGCCCTAAGAAACAAGCTGGAGTAGCCATTCTAATATCAAATAAAATCGACTTTCAACTTAAAACTATCAAAAAGGATAAGGAAGGACATTACATACTTGTGAAAGGAAAAGTCAACCAACATGAACTCTCAATTCTGAATATCTATGCGCCAAATGCAAAAGCACGCACTTTCATAGAAGAAACCTTACTAAAGCTCAAAGCACACATTGCACCTCACACAAAAATATTGGGAGACTTCAATACCCCACTCTGAGAAATGGACAGATCATGGAAACAGAAAATAAACTGAGATACAGTGAAACTAACAGAAGTTACGAACCAGATGGACTTAACAGATATCTTTAGAACATGTCACCCTAAAGCAAAAGAATATACCTTTTTCTCAGCACCTCATAGTACCTTCTTCAAAATAGACCATATAATTATTCACAGAACAGGCCTCAACAGATACAAAAACATTGAAATAATCCCATGCATCCTATCAGATCACCGTGGTCTAAGGCTGGTCTTCAATAATGACAAAGACAATGGAAAGCTCACATTCACATGGAAACCGAACAATACCCTACTCATTGATAATATGGTCAGGGAAGAAATAAGGAAAGAAATTAAAGACTTTTTAGAATTTAATGAAAATGATGACATATCATACCAAAATCTATGAGATACAATGAAAGCAGTGCTAAGAGGAAAACTCATAGTTATAAGTGCAATACAAAAAGAAACTGGAGACAGCATACACTAGCAGCTTGACAACTCACCTGAAAGCCCTAGAACAAAAAGAAGCTAATACACCCAAGAGGAGTAGAAGGCAGAAAATAATCAAACTCAGGGCTGAAATCAACCAAATAGAAACAAAAAGAACTATATAAAGAATCAATAAAACCAGAAGTTGGTTCTTTGAGAAAATGAGCAAGATAGATAAATCCTTAGCCACATTAACCAGAGGGCAGAGAGACAGTATCCAAATTAATAAAATCAGAACTGAAAAGGGTGACATAACAACAGAAACTGAGGAAATTCAAAAAATCATCAGATCCTACTACAAAAGCCTATACTCAACAAAATTGGAAAATCTGGATGCAATGGACAATTTTCTAGACAAATATCAGTTACCAATGTTAAATCAGGAGCAGATAAACTATCTAAACAGTCCCATAACCCCGAAAGAAATAGAAGCAGTCATTAATAGTCTCCTCACCAAAAAAGTCCGGGACCAGATGGTTTTAGTGCAGAATTCTATCAGACCTTCAAAGAAGACCTAATGCCAATTCTCTTCAATCTATTCCACAAAATAGAAACAGAAGGGACACTACCCAATTCATTCTATGAAGCCACTGTTACGCTCATACCCAAACCACACAAAGACCCAACAAAGAAAGAGAACTTCAGACCAATCTCCCTTATGAACACTGATGCAAAATTACTCAATAAAATCCTAGTGAACCAAATCCAAGAACACATCAAAACAATTATCCATCATGATCAAGTAGGCTTTATCCCAGGAATGCAGGGATGGTCCAACATATGGAAATCCATCAATGTAATTCACCATATAAACAAACTCACAGAAAAAATACCACACGATCGCCTCACTAGATGCTGAGAAAACATTTGACAAAATTCAATACCCCTTCATGACAAAAGTCTTGGAAAGATCAGGAATTCAAAGTCCATACCTAAACATAGTAAAAGCAATATATAGCAAACCAGTAGCTAACATCAAACTAAATGGAGAGAAACTTGAAGCAATCCCACTAAGATCAGGGACTAGACAAGGCTGCCCACTCTCTCCCTACCTATTCAATATAGTACTGGAAGTCCTAGTCAGAGCGATTAGGCAACACAAGGAGGTCAAAGGGGTACAAATTGGAAAGGAAGAAGTCAAAATGTCACTATTCGCAGATGATATGATAGTATACTCAAGTGACTCCAAAACTTTCACCAGAGAAATCCTAATCCTGATAAACAACTTTAGCAAAGTGGCTGGATATAAAATTAACTCAAACAAATCAGTAGCCTTCCTCTACTCAAAAGACAAACTGACTGAGAAAGAAATTATTGAAATGACATCCTTTACAATAGTCACAAATAATATAAAATACCTTGGTGTGAATCTAACCAAGCAAGTAAAAGACCTGTATGACAAGAACTTCAAACTCCTGAAGAAAGAAATCGAAACAGATCTCAGAAGATGGAAAGATCTTCCATGCTCATAGGTTGGAAGGATTAATATAGTAAAAATGGCTATCTAGCTGAAAGCAATCTACAGATTCAATGTAATTCCCATCAAATTTCCCACACAATTCTTCACAGAGATAGAAAGAGCAATCTTAAAATTCATTTGGAATAACAATAAAACCCAATATAGCGAAAACTATTCTCAACAATAAAAGAACTTCTGGGGAATCACCATCCCTGATTTCAAGCTGTACTACAAAGCAATAGTGATAAAAACTGCATGGTATTGGAACAGAGACAGGCAGGAGGATCAATGGAATAGAACTGAAGACCTAGAAATGAATTTCCATACCTATGGTCACTTGATCTTTGGCAAAGGAGCTAAAACTATCCAGTGGAAAGACAGCATTTTCAACAAATGGTGCTGGTCCAACTGGAGGTCAGCATGTAGAAGAATGCAAGTTGATCCATACTTATCTCCTTGTACAAAGCTAAATTCTAAGTGGATCAAGGACCTCCACATAAAACCAGCTACACTGAAACTAATAGAAGAGAAATTGGGGAAAAGCCTCGAACACATGGGCACAGGAGAAAAGTTCCTGAACAGAATGCCAATGGCTTATGCCCTAAGATCAAGAATTGACAAATGGGACCTCATAAAACTGCAAAGACTCTGTAAAACAAAGGACACAGTCAATAGGATAAAGCAGCAGCCAACAGATTGGGAAAAGATCTTCACCAACCCTACATCTGATAGAGGGCTAATATCCAAGGTATACGAAGAACTGAAGAAATTAGACTCTAGACAATCAAAGAACCCTATTTAAAAATGTGGCACAGAACTGAACAAAGAATTCTTAACTGAGGAAGCTCGAATGGTTGAGAAACACCTAAAGAAGTGTTCAGCATCCCTAGTCATCAGGGAAATGCAAATGAAAACAACAGAGATTCCACCTCACACCAGTCAGAATGACTAAGATAAAAATCACAGGTGACAGCAGATGTTGGCGAGGATGTGAAGGGGAACAGTCCTCCACTGTTGGTAGGATTGTAAGCTGGTACAACCACTATGGAAAGCAGTCTGGTGGTACCTCAGAAAATTGAACCTAGTGTTACCTGAGGACCTAGCTATACGACTCCTAGGCATATACCCAAAAGATGTTTCAACATATAACTAGGACACATGCTCCACTATGTTCATAGCAGCCTTATTTATAATAGCCAGAAGTTGGACAGAACCCAGGTGTCCTTGAACAGAAGAACGGGTGTAGAAAATGTGGTACATTTATACAATGGAGTATTACTCAGCTACTAAGAAACAATGACTTCATGAAATTCTTAAACAAATGGATGGAGCTGGAAAATATCATCCTGAGTGAGGTGACCCAATCTCAAAAGAACACACATGGTATGCACTCACTGATAAGTGCATATTAGCCCGAAAGCTCACAATACCCAAGACACAACACATATGGCACATATAACTCATTAAGAAGAAGGAAGAACAAAGTGTTGGTGCTTTGGTCCTTTTTAGAAGGAGTACCAAAAGATTCAACCAGAGCTCCCAAGGTCTAAACCTCCAGCCTGAGAGCACAAAGGGAGGGACTCATGTCCCCACCTGTATAGGTAACTGAGGATGGCCTTGTCCGACATCAGTGCAAGTGGAGGGCCATGGTTCCCAAAAGTTTGGATTCCCTAGGGTTGGGGAATTCGAGAGCAGGGAGATGGGACTGGAATAATGTTTGGAGCACACCCTCATAAAAATAGGAGGATGGGGTATGGGATAAGGGGTTTTGGGGGAGAATGGAGGGGAGAAAACATTGAAAGGTAAATACATAAAATATCCAATAAAAAACAGCTAATGGGTCTGGAAAAAAAGATAGTGTACTTATTTCAAATTATTTTCAAAAGTTTCTAGGAAATGCTAATTGGCTAAGATCTTATTTTAAGCTCTCCACAAAAGAATTTAAGTCTCTATTTAATATTCTCAAGAGAGATGTTAATCCTAATTTCCCTCAACAATTAATTGACAAAAGAGGAGTAATCTCACAAAAAGTAGAAGAAGCTATTATTAATTGATATATTATATAGTCTGATTAGTTGTTGGCTGTTCTATAACAGTCCTTTGATAAAAGAGATTATTAATATAGACTTATATTTCTTTAAATAGTGTCTTCATGACTCTCTGAGTGTAGAAGGAGCGGCTGCTGGCGCATTTGCCCTGATTTTACAAGAACTCTGAAAAATTGGCTTTAAAAGCAAAAGAGGGGGAATGGTATCCCCCCCCAGAAAGAGTCCTTCGAAATACTCTTCATCATGCCTTGTTCACTTTTAACTCTCTAAACCTGAAAGCTCATGGCAAATCTGCTGCTGACTGCCTCTGGCATCACCGAGACCAATAAAAACTATACCACAGCTATGTGGAAGGACCCTCTTACCCTTAAAGGGAATGGCCCAGACCCAGTTCTCTTATGGGGCCAAGGATTGATATGCCTGTTTGATACCACAGAAGGCACAGCTAAATGGCTACCAAAAAGACTAATGAAATACATGGATACCCCCACAAAGCCAGGCCCAACCATAAATAAGATGAATAACAACTGACATCCAGTGAAGAAAAATCTCCCTGAGAACTCCCTTCTTTTTCCTTTCCAGGTAAAAATGAATCACCCATGATGTCTGCTGTTAGAAATTCTAATCCAGATGCTGGCCTTCAAACTTATATTACTCAGAACTTCGACGGGCCATTGACAAGAATATCATACAGCTAGAGATTGACAACACTAATCTGAAGAAATCCCTCATTTTGCTGTCTGAAGAGACTTCCAAAAATTTCAAAGGACTTTATTGGACTTAATTTACTCTTTTACAATAGAAAAGACTGTGTACAGCTCTTGATTGTATATGGTCCTTAAAGAAGAATGTTGCCTTTACATAGACAAGACAGGGATGGTTAAAGAGAGCATGAAAAAGGTCAGAGAAGGCTGTGAGAAAAGACAGAGAGAGAAAGATAAGAGCTGGTACAAGAATTGGCTTTGAACCTCTCCATCATTGTCAACCCTACTTCCTCCCATCTTGGGACCATTAATTGGATTATTTTTGCTTATTTCTTTTGGTCCCTGGGCCTTAAATAGACTGACTAACTTTGTGAAACAACAGATAAATAATTTGGTAACAAAACCTATTCAGATACATTATCATAAGTTAGCTATGGAGGACCACAAGACTCAAGACGAGGTTGTTACTCTATCCAGGGTGTTCCCAAAACCCATCTCCACCCAACCTAAAAGAGGGGACTTCTGCCCCTAGATCAAGCAGAGAGGGGCCACACAGTCCTCTCTGACTGGAGATCTGAATTCTTGCTTAGGCTGCGAGGCTAAGCACTGCAAGAGAATATAAATAAAAGTTAAAAATATCTCTCTGGGTTCCCTGACTGCATAAGGGTTGATGTCAAAAGTATCCCCTCTCCAGGAAAAAGACATCGGGATGGGTATGGCCCTCATGCCTCACTGGGCAACAACAGGGGTACCGGAGTCATTACAAAGTCCCCTTCAATTACTGGAGGTCAGGCCTCTATCCCCACCTTCGAAAGATTAGAATTGCCACAACCCTTCTATACTTAGAGAAGGGAGGAGATTTCAGGGGCAGCCCTGCTTACACACTAAAGGCCTAAAATCAGCCATAGGCCTAAAATCAGCAATTGGCCTGTCATACATGTGTACTAACACCAAGTCTTGGTTCTCTGTGGAAAAAAATTGAAACAGATGGCTATAAGCTATTATAAACAGGCAGCTTTTGTGGAAATTTACCAGCCTGAGTAGTCATAGACCTTGTAAATAGGTAACCTTGGTGGATAATACCAACTTAGATAAGGACAAGTGAATCATAAAGTCATAGTGACCTGTCCCCTCAACCTTCACCCAGACATTACCCTGTTCTGAAAGATATCTGTAATCCCCCTGAACACCCAGGCTCCGGTGTCATCCCCTTTCCCATGTCCTGCCTTTTTGTGTTTATAACCCCTGTGTGAATAAGTAAAAATTATGATTTGATTTAAAAAATAAATAAAAATTTAAAAAAAGAAATATGAAAAAATGAAGAGAGAGAGAGAGAGAGAGAGAGAGAGAGAGAGAGAGAGAGAGAGAGAATTTGTTGTAGATCATCTTTAACATTTAGTAGAATTCTGTTGTAAATCCATAGCTCTGCCTTTATGATTTTTTTTTAAAGCTGGGAAGCTTTTTACCACTATTTTACTCCCCTCATTTGTAGTGGGTCTGGTTAGGTTACTGATTCTTTGGTAATGTTTCTGGTTTGCCAAAATCTAGAAATCCATTTCTTGAGTGGTGATGGTATTGGTCCAGCTCAATGATTACATGTTTTTAAAAATATATTTTCTTATGATATTCTGAATTTCCTTGTATCTGTAGTAATGTTTCCCTGTTCTTTTCTGATTCTGTTGATTTGAGTCCTTTCTTTCTTTCTTTCTTTCTTTCTTTCTTTCTTTCTTTCTCTCTTTCTCTCTCTCTCTCTCTCTCTCTCTCTCTCTCTCTCTCTCTCTCTCTCCCCCTCCCTTCCTCCATCCCTCCTCCCTCTTTCTTCCTTTCTTCCCTTCCTTCCTTCCTTCCTTCCTTCCTTCCTTCCTTCCTTCCTTCCTTCCTTCCTTCCTTCCTTTTGCTGATTAGATCAAGGGTCTGTCAATCTTGTTTATCTTCTCAAAGAATGAGATACTAGATTTGTTTTATTGTTGTTGACTTTTGCTTTAATTTTCCTTATTTCTTGTCTTCAACTGGGTTTGTGTTTGGTTTGTTCTTGTGTGAGACATTTATGCTTGCTCTTTTTTTTTTTAACATAGGTTCTTAGAGCTATGACTTTACCTTAAATTTATTCCAGATGTTTTGTTGTATTGCATTTTAATTTAGCTCGAGAAAAATTTTGATTTTCTTAATTGTATCTTTGACTCATTCATTGTATCAATCTCCACAAGTTGGCACATTTAGCAGAGACTTATTTTCTGTCGATTTTTAAGTTTTATTTGTACTGTGGTCAAATAGGATGCAAGAAAGTGTTTAATCCTTTTGAATTTGTAATGATTTGTTTTCTTTTCCAGGCTATGGTCTATTTTATAAATATTCCACATGCCACTGAGTAATGTTTGTATTCTTTAGTGTTTGGCATAATATTCTGTAGATATTTGTTAAGTCCATTTGTTGTATTATGTCAAATAATACCGATGTTTTCCCTTTTATTTTTTCTTGATAACATGTCTATTAGAGAAATTGGGGTATTGAAATCACCTATTTTTAAATTAAAGATGTTAGTCAATGTCTTTAAACTTTAGTAGTACATTATTTTTATAAAATGAGCACTCCAGAGTTCAGTGCATATATGGGATAATAATGTCTCATTGGCCTGGGCAGTGGTGGCACATGCCTTTAATCCCAGCACTTGGGAGGCAGACACAGACAGATTTCTGTGAGTTGGGTGTCAGTCTGGTCTGCAGAGTGAGTTCCAGGACAACCAAGGCTTCCCAGAAGAATCCTGTCTCAAAGCAGCAACAAGAACAACACAGAGAGCACGTGTGTGTGTGTGTGTGTGTTTATTAACAACAACAACAAATGTATATGTAATGTCTTACTGGTTAACTGTTCCCTTGATTAGGATGAAGTATCATTCTTAGTCTTTTCTGATTAGTTTCGGTTTGAAGTCTATTTAATCAGATATTAGGATAGTTGTGCTGGTTGCTGATTCCACTTGATTGGAATAGTTATGTCCATCCTTTTATTCTCTGGTGATGCCTGTATTTTGAGCTGCTATATTTCTGTTAGACATCAAAGAGGAGGATTTTCTTCCTTGACCCATTTACTCATCCTTGGTCTTTTGATTGGAGAATTGAAGCCACTACTATTTAAACTTATTGAAATATGTGTATTGATTGTGGTCATCAATGTTGAGTTTTGGTAGTGTTTGTGTTCTTGGTGGTATTTTGTGTTTTAGTACTTATATCTTAGTATTTTTTCCCACAGTCTCTCTGATATATTTATGCTTCACCAAAATATTTCTTCACATATTTTCTTTAGGGTTGGTTTTTTGGTTATAATTTTTAAGGCTATTTATGTCACAGAAACATTTTTTTTCTTCAATTATGGCAGATAGTATTGTAAGGTATATTTTTCTAGGCTTGCCACCATGGTCTTCTAGTACAGGAAATGAATTGATGCAAGCTCTTCTGGTTTCAAAGTTTCAGTTGAGAAATCAGCTGTTATTCTGATGGGTTTTCCTTCTTATATTACTTGTGTTTATTCTGTTGCTCCCAATACACTTTCTTTGTTCTGTGTACTTAGTATTTTAACTATGATATGTCATAGGAATTTTGACTTGGGGTCTTGTATATTTGGGGTTCTGTGATTTTTAAAAAAATCTAGACATTTGTATCTTTCTTTAGACTGAGGAAGTTTTAAGTCCTTTTCTGTCTGACTGTCTCATTATGAATCAACTGTGCTCCTTGTTTGTTGTCTTTGCACTTGACCATATAACTTACTTTTATCACCTGTTATACAGGCATGAGTTACAGCATGCTTCTTCATGGAGTCTCTTTTCTTACACCTCTGCTATCACTGCCATTGAAGTTTTGAAAGAAAAATGAGAGACAGGGAGAAGAGCTTTTTCATTCAGTGCAGCCTGAAGCAGGATATCCCATACTACTTATAGATTTATGACACCATTTTTGGCTATTGAAGATTAGGAGTGATTTCTTCTGATGTATTGCTATGATCATATATGCTACATTTGGAAGACTTAGCTCCCGTATCCTGGGCCTACAGAGATGCTTGGTGTCATGTGACAAATGCTGTGGTCATGTCTAGGTAGAGAAAGTGCCAGGGTACAATGTTTAATAGAACCATAGCTCTTGGGCTTAGGAGAGTAAGTGCTTCTTTAACTTTTGTAGCTAGGCAGCTCACTCTTAAAGCATGCATCTCACCCCCAGGGGCTGACAATGCATTTGGCTTCACCTCCATCATCTATTCTAGAATGAACATGGCTAATTGTAAGAGCTCAATAAGATACACTCAATAAGACTATCAAAAATAAGATCGATGGCAGTAAGGTTGGAGGTATGTTTAAGAATTGTTGACAGATGGTCTGTGTAGGGTAAGACACTAAATATTAAGAATAGTTCATGGTCAGTGAAACAAATGTTTTTACCTGGAAGCCCAGGTCTTTTACTGGCCCGATGTATTTCAAGTTCCAACATGTGTCAGAAACTAGGGAAAGCCTAATTGGTTCATCTGGTGAACTAGGTAGGCTATTATCTGCTCTGAGTATCACTCCTTGACTTGATGCTCTTTTTACTTGTTAGGAGAAATAGATTAAAATTCAAGAAATAATGGGCCATTTTAGAAAAAAAAGTGCCTTGTAGAACATGCATTAGAACAAACAATTTTCATAACGAGTGCCAAAAGATTCTTTGCTCCACTTGCAGCTGCTGCAATTTACACATTTTTCTGAATAGTGACAAGCAATTTCAGAAGTGACAGGAACCAGCTATAGCTATCCTTGTAAAACCTAGATCAGGCTAACAATGATAATTTCTAGGCTCTCACATCATCACTAGCTTCATAGTAATAAATAACAGTGATAATGCCTCCTTAGATTTGAGGAGGGAGTTGTCCAAACAGTAAAGTGGAAAAGTAATAAACATATACATTTCATGGACTAAGGTGTGGACAGTTTTAAAGGTAAAACTTATAAGAATTCATGGATAATAAAGGGATATATAAG